GGCTGGTTGGTCAGATTGGCTCGTCGACTAGGTCGGGCCCTTCGGGGAGACCGAGTTCTCTGCTCGCGAACCAATCCTCGGGGCGGCTGACACACAACGCGACCTGGAGCCTGCTGTTGTCCTCTGGAGAGGAAAGTTCCTCGACTTTCTTGGCTTCTGGAGCCTCTGGCCTAGGTGGTTTGCCTCCTCGGGTGTATCTCTTCAGGTGACCGTCTTTGATCAGAATTTCGATCGCATCCTTGAGATGGATGCAGTCTTCTGTCACGTGCCCGTGGCTCCTGTGAAATCGGCAATATTTCGATTTGTCCACGTTCGGTTTGGGGGGTGTTGGTCGCGGGAAATGGACACCTCCCTGTATGAATTCTATTTTGGCGCATTCGGCCAGTATGTGCTCGCGGGAAGCGACTAAGGCCGTGTATTCCGTGAGGCGGCGGGGCCACGCGGTTCACGTTGTTCGCGGGGCTCGCGGGGGAGGTCTTCGCGGCGGCGGTCTCCCCCCGTCGATGGCTCGAGGCTCCGTCGTCTCGGTGCCCGCGGGGGGCCTCCCGGTCTCGGGTGTCTCGAGCGGAGTTGGCCGCTTGGGTTTCTTCGAATCGGATATAGTGCGCGGCCCTGTCGAGGAAGTCTTGGAGTGATGTTGGTCGGTGTATGCCTACGGCCTCGTAGAACTTGGAGTCGTGGCGCAGACCTTGCTCCATTAAGTAGTGTTTCATCTCGTCTGACGTCGTCACCTACACTGCTTCTCGAGTGAATCTCTCGATGTACTTCCTGAGAGGTTCGTCGGGGCTCTGGATGATCGCCCCGAGGACTGCTTCCGTCTTCGGGTGGCGTCGGGACGCCGTAAAGTGTTTGGAGAACAGGTCCTTCAAGACCCTCCATGACGTAACTGACTCGGGCTCCAGACTTTTATACCAGGTCATAGCGCCCTTCCTCAGAGTCGTCGGGAAGAGTCTGCACTTGATGGCTCCCTGGACGTTTCGGTAATCGAGCATGGCCTCGATATCCTCTAGGTGATCGTCCGGGTCGGTCGTGCCGTCGTACGTCGACAGCGTCGGGGGCTTCTCCATCCCTTGGGTATGGGGGCAGCCATGATTTCTCGGGACAGCGGGGTGCGGTAGTCGTCCTCGTCGCTGGGTGCCGGGGATCGATGGGGAGATGAGCCGTTCAAATTAGGCCCCTGGTTTCGGGTTCTCGTCCTCCTGCCAGGGTTGTCGCCTCGAGGATCCCCGGTCGGGATCGCCGCAGTGCTCTGGTTCCTCTCGCGAACGTGCCTTGCTGGGGATCTGGTGCGTTCTCGTGTCACCTGTGTGCGGTGCCTCTCTAGCCGCGGCCGGCGGTTTCTGGGTCGAGGTGAGGGGCTCCTCGAACCTCCATTCTGGTCTTCCCGCGGGGGGTACCTCGGAGGACCGATGCGTTCTAATGCTCCAATTCTCGCATTTTGTTGGAACAGCAGCTGGTTCGTCTGGTTGATGGCCGTAAAGAGGGCGGCCACCGTTGGGTCCGCTCCCGCCGGGATGGGAACGGGGTGGAATGCTGGCGGGCTCGGGGGCCGGTGGTCGACCTGAAGGGGCCGCTCCGCGGATGACGGTGAAGCGGTTTGGCCGTCCCTTTCGTCGGTTTCCGCCGGACGCGTCGTTCCTGTCTGCTTGTTTCCGTTGGTGGCGACGTTGAGCACGAGGTCGTGCGGAGTGCCGTCGCGGTGTGGACTAGCCATGATCGTGGAGGTTTGGTGAAACTTTTGGTTTTCTGCTCGGAGTAACGGAGAAGTTTCAGATTCCCACAGACGGCGCCACTGATCTGACCGGATCAGAAGGGGATCACGGGCCGGCCACACTCTATTGGACTGCTACGTGCTCACCGATGCTGAGGGGAAAGAAAAGGGGGTGTACCTGCAAAACACTCTGATGCCAAAGTAAGGAATTGGGCAGAGCGAGAGCAAAGTACAGAAAAAGGGGTAAGAAGTGTGTTACCTGACCCTCTTGAGGAAGAGTGTATTTATAAAGAGACCCCAGCGCTGGGCCAACGGTCATTTGAGCTGGACTGGATGACCAAGCCCAACCCTAATGACTGCTAGGGCTTACGTGGCGTAGTGAAGACCAGGACGTGGTCTTCGCCCTAGTCCAACCGCTCCTAGATCTCCGGAAAGTGGGTTTGACCTGCTCTTTCGAAGGGGGGCAGATGGTTGGTGACGTGTCCCCGCGGAGGGGAGCACGTGGAGAACGTGCACCGGGCACGTTGTTCTCCCCGCATAGGGGAGCTCGGGAGGTACCCGGGAGCGCGTTGCTCTTCCCGCGGAGGGGAGGAACCAAGGTCGTGCTTTAATGCGCCGGGGTCTGTTCTGTTCGGCTGGTAAGAGGGGATGACGAGATGTTGTTGGACGCGCTGCTTGGGTCCGGTGGTGTGCTCTGCTCGTCTTGCGGGACGCACGTGCCCGGCGTGCCCGATTCGTCCGTTGGACCGTACGTGGTATTGGGCCTGCCGAGGTCGGGCCCACACCGGAACAATATATATATATATATATATATATATATATATATATATATATATATATATATATATATATATATATATATATATATATATATATATATATATATATATATATATATATATATATATATATATATATATATATATATATATATATATATATATATATATATATATATATATATATATATATATATATATATATATTACAAGGCAAATATATAAATATTCAAAAAAATGACATATTTTTTTCATTATCCCATAAAAGAAAAACTAAATAAATATTTGAATTAGGAAATCAACACCCCTCGAATTTTAAATAGTTTTTTTTTATAATTTAATGAACATATACAAATTCAAATCATATTAATTAAAATCATTTTATTCAATTATTCTTAAAATGTTTTTTCTGTAAAAATAAATCTTCTATTATTTATATATTTAATTTGAACTATCAATTGTATATTATATTATTTTTTAATCAATTAAATATATTATTTTTATATTTTAATAAAATTTAACATACAATTATACTCATAATAAAACCAGCCCTATATTTTCCATTGGAAAAAAAAAGTAAATTTGTTATAAATAATTTCATTCTTTTCTATAACAATAAGAAAGAAATAATAAAAAACAAAAAGAATTTAAAAATACAAAATAAATAAAAAATAAAGAAAAATTATCTTGTATGAAAATCACTAATCTATAAATTTCAATAAAAAAATAAATTTTGAATTCCTAATTGCAAAATTCATCTGAGTTTCCGTGCAAAATGTTATCCCAAAATAATATGGGTAAAAATATGACATGGCCAAAAGAAAGATATGATTTCACTTTAATTTAGTTTGTTTTTTTAATTTTTTTAATATCTATACATATATAATTAAATTGAAATTTAAAAATTAAATGAAAAATGAACTTATTAACAAAAAAATCAATAAATAACACAAAATCAAAATTGATGATAAAATTTTTTTTAATTGAACAAATAATAAGCTATGTTGTATTTAGAGGTCTAGTGAACTTTAAAATTATTTGTTTAAATATTTAAAATAAAAATTTAGGTTGCAATACGCTTAGACCCTCTTGTTTTTCTAATCTTTTTCATTTTTAACCTCTTCCTTAAAAAACATAAGAGAATATCAAACATAATTTGTTTTTTATCTTTTTCTTTTTTAATGATGAAACATTAATTTAAATTATGAAATATTTTAGTCACATAAATCCAATAATATTTTAGATTTTTTTCATGATTCCTTCACTATACGCAATAATCTTTATAAGGATATTAAAATTCAAATTGATTCAAATAAAAATTACAAGTTATTTCAAAAATTTTGAAAAAAAAAACTTAATATTATTAAATATTGTTTTATGTCATTTTATAAAAATTGTTTGGTTCACGTTAGATTTCGAATTGTTTTACTTAACATGCTATGTTATGTTAATTTATTACTTATTTTATTTTTATTAAAATGCTATGTTATGTTAATTTATTATTTGATGATACTAACTTTCTTAATACTATTTCTATTAATTTAATTTATTCTATTTATTTTTATTATTTTATTTAATTCAATTATAATCAATTATTTCCATTTTGTAATATTAATTTTAATATGTTATATATCAAATCTATTAATAATCTTAATAAAAAATATTCTTGAATTTGAATATCTAAAAATTGATTTAAATTAAATCACATAAAATTGAATTGGATCGAATTTTTTAATCAATTAGGCAAAATTAAACTGCGAGTATATTACAAATCAGATTAAATCCATGACAATGTTACATATATCTGAAAGCAAGAGGATTGTTATTTGTGTGTATTTATTCATTTTTTTTTCATTTTTATTGATGTCAAACTTGTATTATTATTGATATAATATCATTTTATTTTCAATTAAAAAAAGAGAAAAAAAATATACTTCGACACTGTATTTTTACACTATCCAAATGAATAACATGTATCATAAATATTAATACAAGTTCGACATCAATAAAAATGATTGAATATTTGGACCATTAAACACAAAATGAGGAGCATTTTTATTGATTGAATATGTCGTATAACTATCTTTAATCTTATTTAAAAATCGCTATTGTTGCTAATTTTGTGTTTATTTTAAGTCAAATGCTCCTAATTTTGTGTTTAATGGTCCAAATATTCATGCCAATTGTGTTGAGTATGCCAAATATTGTGATTTAAATCAAAGCATTGGAAACTCCTCTTAATGGTTTAGATCAAAAGGATTAGGCCAAATACTGTGTGATTAAATACTTAACCCAACATTTCATTTGACTTAATGTGACATAGACACTTTATAATACCAAAGTACCTATCACAACACTAGCCTATATCAACACATGAAACAAGCAATTTTATTTCTCCATAATATGCAAAATATCATGTCCTTTTTCAGAGTACACAACATTACACATAAAATGCATCCATTATCATGTTCTGGATTCAAAGTTACTAAAAGAAACATTCATTAAGGGCTTCAAAGAGCCTTGATGATCTCTTCAGCACTTGAAATGGTGAATTCTCCTCCACCTTCAACATTTGCAACCTTCACCTTCAAGTCTTCCACCAAAAGAGCAAACCTCCTCGAGCGAATGCCGAGGCCTTTCTCAGAGAGGTCAAGCTCCAATCCAAGAGCATGAGTGTATTTGGCTGAGCCATCAGCAAGGAACTTGACATGCTTGTTCTCAGGGAATGTTTTGGCCCATGAATTCAACACAAATGGATCATTCACTACAAAAGTCATACGCAATCACAACAAGTTAGTCACTTAATAGAGAATTTATCTTCAACAATATGATAATCACCATCATACAATTAAGATATCAATGTAGATCTTCATTTTTCTAAAGAACTATATAGATCATCCAATCTATAGCCGATGTATTTGCCAAGCCCGTATCCAAGTCCCGGTAATAAAAAACATTTCACAGCTCAATCCTTGACAGCATCATTTAGCAAAATATGAAAAAGAAAAGCTAAGATGTGTTCAATCTTAATCATAACTTAAACAAAAACAACCCAACCTTATCCCAATTTCAACTACATGGATAAACTTCCACCATAATGCTATATCAGAACTAGCTTTTATCCAAATTGTTAATCTCAAGATCTTTCTTAATAGAATTTCTTATAGTTTTTGTAAGTTAAAAAATTACAAAATTCAAAACATTGTAAGAAAGCTTTTAGTTTTCTAGATATGTTAAAAACAAATCAACAATCAATAATCAAGTCCATACAATACAATACAAATCAAATAACAAGCCACATAGAATCCATGTCTAGCAAGAAGCCCCAATTTCGAAGCATTCGTGAATCTTAAACTGAACATGAAAGTTGTAAAAACTAAGAATTAAGAACTACATGTACATATAATTTTTTGTTAATAACCAATAAAACAATAATCAAAGATGGTAAAATCGTGATTTATGATGCCTAGAAACTTTACCACTGATGCAGATGATTTCATCAACACCCTTTCCTTTCAGTTCTTCAGCTCTCTCAATGAATCCAGGCACATGCTTCAAACTGTTCCAAAAGGAAGAAAAAAAAATCAGATCTCAAAAACAAAACCCTATAAAAAGTGAAACATTCACAACCAGGATGTTGCACACTATCCTTAAAATCTCCAAATTTTACTCGACAGAAATTAAATTAGAGCCAACAAAAATCAAAATCAACTAAACAAAACAACAATTTTGAGTGTACCCTATTTTAAAATCAATTGAATAAAAATGAAAACTTTATGTGAAAAAAAGGTGAATCGAAATTGCCCATGAATCTGATTCAGTTACTACGATTTTCTAGGGTTGCTATATGGAAGAAATACGATGAAAAGGGGTAAACCTGCAAGTGGGGGTGAAAGCACCGGGAACACCAAAGATGATGACTTTTTTGCCGGCGGAGAGGGAATGAATTGAAACGGATTGGGGTTTGTTTTCTTCATCGAGATAGGCTAAGGTACCATCTGGAATCGCATCTCCTACAGTGATTGGAGCCATTGAAGATGATTTAGAGACTGTAATTGAAAATTGAAAATTGAGAATTGAAATGAGACAAACGATGCGTTAATTCCGAAGGTAAAACCCTAGTTATATAGGCTAGTGGTGAGAGTATGGCTACAAACATGTCCTAGGCCAGAATGAACACGTGTCATTATTTTAATGGTGAATTTTAAATTAATTTTAAATTAAATTTTTTTTTTAATAAAGATCATGGAGAAATAGTAATAATGAATTGTTGAGATTTTTCACTTTTTTTTTACTAATAAGCATTTTTTTTAAATAAAATACAATTTGTTATCAATAGTCTGGTCAGTAATATTTATGTGTTAGAAAAGGTGGATGATAAAGATTGATTTGACAGGGTGGTTATTAAAATGATGGGAGTGGGAAGGTTATAATATTTTTATTTAATTAATTAATTAGAAATGTGTGCCATATTTAATTTTTTAAAATTAAATTAGAAACGTGTTTTATATTTAATTTTTTAAAATTTAATTAATTAATTAATTAATTAATTAATTATTATTATTTAAATTTATTAAGATAAATTTTTCTGGGAGTTATTTAATATTAGTCATAAAGACTTGAATATTATAGATTAGTGAAAACTAAGATATAATTTAGATCAAATAAATAAATTGTCCAACTTTTAATTAACAAATCGATTCAACCCGATAAAAAAATTACATCCTTACAACCTATAAAAACAAATAAAAGTATAGTAAAATATACTAAAAATAAAAACAAAACAAATAAAAACAGTAAAAATAACAATGTTGAAGCTCTTATCTTGCACAATATTAATTTTAATACTATAATATTTTGAATATAAGAGAGGAATGATTACCTTATCAAAAAGTGGAAGTAATTTGTGAAAACAAAAAAAAGAAAAGGATAATAAAATCTATCAAAAAATGATAAACTATAGTTTATGAAGAAAGAAAAATGAAAAAAGAATAATTGTAGTGCAAATTATATAGGGATTAAAGATTGGTGAGAAAGAGTGAACAGTGGAGATTGAATTGAGAGAGTGGAGAGTGGTAAATAAAATTATGGGAGTGGAGAAGTTATAATATTTTTAATTAATTAATTAATTAGAAACGTGTGTCATATTTAATTTTTTTAAAATTAAATTAGAAACGTGTTTCATATTTAATTTTTTGAAATTTAATTAATTAATTATTAATAGCTACTTATTATAATTAATAATTAATTATTATTATTATTATTATTATTATTTAATAATATAAATTTTTGTGAGAGTTATTTAATATTAGTCATAAGACTTGAATATTATAGATTTATGAAAACTAAGATATAATTGAGATCAAATTAAAAAATTGTTCAACTTTTAATTAACAAATCAAGTCAGCGCGACATAAAAAAAATTACAACCTTACCATCTATAAAAACAAATAAAATTACATTAGAATATACTAACAAATAAAAACAAAACAAATCAAAACAGTAAGAATACCAATGTTAAAACTCTTATTTTGAAGAATGTCCATTTTAATATTATAATCTTTTGAATATAAGAGAGAAAGATTGTCTTAATAGAAAGTGGAAGTAATATGTGAACAAAAAAAAAGAATAATAAAATGTACTCAAAAATGATAATCTATAGTTTATGAAGAAAGAAAAAGGGATAAAAAGAATGATTGTAGTGCAAATTATATAGGGAGTAAAGATCGGTTAGAAAGAATGGATAGTGAAAATTGATTTGAGAGAGTGGAGAGTGGTTACTAAAATTATGGGAGGGGAGAAGTTATAATATTTTTATTTAATTAACTAATTAGAAATGGATATGGGAGATTGATTTGAGAGAGTGGAGAGTGGTTATTAAAATTATGGAAGTGGAGAAGTTATAATATTTTTATTTAATTAACTAATTAGAAATGTGTGTCATATTTAATTTTTTAAAATCAAATTAGAAATGTGTTTCATATTTAATTTTTTAAAATTTAATTAATTAATTACTAATAACTATTTGTTATAATTAATTAATTAATTATTATTATTCATATTTATTAATATAAAGTTTTGTGAGAGTTATTTAATATTAGTGGTGGAGGTGGTTGGTATAATTATAGTTTTAATTAATTATTTATTATTATTATTATTTATTATAAATTATAAATTTGTAGAAGTTAAAATCTCAATTTTAACCTTAAAATTTTGGAGGAAAAAATTAATGGAAAAATTTATAAGATTATAATTTAGTATGATTTAAAGATACACGTGTGACTAACATAATATTAAAATTTTATTTTATATTTTTATATTTTTTGTAATTCATAACATGTTACAAGCATTATACTTTATCATATGAATTTGACTAAGTTATTATGACCTTTGACGGTTAAAATTTATTTTCTTCTTTAAAATCGTCTTTACTTGCTATTAAGTTTTTTATCTTATGTTTTTATATATCGTACTCATGCTTATCATGTTATTAAGTTTTTTTACTTAATGAAAGAAGAAAGGATATCACCACTCATGCGTATCGGAGGAATCTAAAACAAACAAATTTTATCAGAACACAATCAAGTAAGTGATTTGGTATTTATTTTTAAATTTGGTCTTCACCAAATTATTTAAGTTTAAGTAATACGATATCTTTTCCTTTTATCATCACTTAATTACATGATTTTAATTAATCGAGTAGATTGTTAGACGTCGACTCACCATATTTTATAATATTAAGTTATCTGATATTTCATTATTTGATTCACCGGATTACTTTTGTTCATGTGATCTGGTATGTTATTTTTTAAAAATTTAGTTCTAGTTATCTTTTATTAAGATATTTTTATTACTAGTGTGATATTGAGGACACAGTAGTAAGATCATTCAGCATGAACAAATAGGACGCAAATATTTCCAAGCTAATATCACAATTGATGCATAAAAAGATGAGAAATATTACAATTGATGCATAACAAGATGAGAAACACACACATAAGGATCAACAACATCAATTTTCATGAGGATCGTATGACATGTCTCTTTTGATACACTATGAGAATTATATTGCTCTTCAATTATAGTATGGAGAGGTAAGTAATTTGTTTTTATTTGTTTTCATAATATTTAATATTTTAATAGCTTAAAAATTTTTATAATGTATAATTTAAATTATTTTTAGGAACAAGGTCCAGAGAAAGAATTAAAGGTTGCAACACATGAAAAAAAAAAATTGATGAAATGAGTTCCATAGAATCTCTCACTTGTGATACTTTGTTGTTTGAATAGCTCTGGTCTAACTTCACTTTAAAAAGCCACTTTGAGGATGATTAATCCCAACTTTATCTAATCATTTATGGAAATGTAACATTCATAGACATTGTCATTTCATATGTCATTTCGTGAAATGACAATACAATGATGCATGCTTACTTCACCTTTCTATTCAGGGTGATTTCTATGATCATCCAGTGTGTATCAACAAAGAATTTACTTTTTTACTTACTATGAAGGTATTGGGGTGATCATACAAGAAGATGCGTAAGTGGTACATAGTTGTATGGGGTCTATTGCATGCTCTAGTGATTATATGCCCTATTTGAGACATCGAATCGTTAGTCAATTTGACTATATTGCGAGAGCTCATTTGTTGTTCCTGGTGGGATGCACTATTTTTGCAAACGAGAGTTTTACTCATTCGTAAAGGCAAAATAAATACCCATATTTTGGAATTTATCATCCTGGTTGTTGGGTGAGAATATGGACACAATTAGGTCTATAGGGTTGAATAGACATATCCTTAAAAAGACAATTTCAACAAAAAAAAAATCAGATCCCATAAAACAAAACTAGAGCTTTTAAAATACACGAAAAGTAAAACACAACACAAAGAGAGCTTGGAAGCATCTCAATGAATTAATCCAATAAGAGTATCACAAGATATCACAAAAGGCATGATTCTTTTGAATGCAAATCAATTACATGATAAACGAATTCGTTTTAAACTAAACAATTTAAAAATCATTACATAGAACTTCATTCAAAGCATAATTAGATTTATGATGATTCAATATGTTTGATGCATCACAAACCTAAGTTTACACATTAAATCGCAATAAGCATGATCTAACATAAATGGCATACAAACAATGCAATGATGCAATAGTTATAATGATGAATGCAGAAAATTAAAGGATATGAGGGAAGAAAGAAGAGTACACAGGGATATATATTGGTTCGGCGTTCGTTCTTGCTTTGCCTACTCCCATCTTCAAAGATGTTAAAACCATCGAAAACTAATCATGATCTTCCACTATTTCATATGATAATTTCCTCTATTGATGCAAATACTCAAATTGCTAACAACCACAAGATCTTTAATGATCTTGATCCAGTAACCTTGTTATCCATAATAACCTACTCCAAGTCTTTGTATGTGGCTATCCACCTTGATCAATATGTTATGGAGGGCACATTCTAAACCATTTGTAGTTACTTTAAGGTTGTAATAAAATTCCTTGATAAGGCTTGGATCAAATTTCTTGTTCAGGCTAACAAACTTCAATAGTTTGTGTTCTTCCAATGGTTCCAAAAGCTTAACACCTATCTCAGACTCAACCAGCTTATTCAAAAAATACTCAGACTTTACAGACTTTTTAAGGAATTCTTTGACATACCTCTGAAGTTGGTCATTATGGAGCAAGTGACGAACCATCTTACTGATAAGAAATGAGTCATGACTAGAGGTTTCAGGAGTCTTACTTGCATTTTACTTCTTGGGTGCTCTTACATAAGATGATTCCTTGCTAGCTTAAAATTTAGTTCTTGTCCTTTTAGGAATTTGAGGGATTGGATTTGAAGATGATTCAGGCCTTTTCCCTTTTTGTTTTATCATAAAGCTTCATTTGTGGGTTGCTTGAACTCATTTCGATGGAGCTTGAAAAGAATGAGTTTTGATGAGATGTGATGATGGTGGTTTATAATTAAAATAGGGTGATGATGAACGATGTTCTGAGAATAAATGAGATGAG